CAGAAAATAGAATCTTTATTCCAAAAAATAGTACGTTTGAATTCACTTTGAAACCATTCTCAGCAATATAATTTCAAAATATCAATCCCTTCATGTCTAAGAAAAAATCACTATTAGATTAACAAATTTGATATTGTAATCCCAAGACATAGAAGGAATTCGTCTCAACATTGAATCAAAACTAATTAAAATTTATTATCACTAAAGGGTATCAAGTTAAAAAACGCATGTCAATGTAAAAAACGCATCGCAGCTCGAACGAAACATGATGTGTCATATTTACTTTTGTGCAATGACATCTAATCATAAATTATTTGAAATATTTTCGAATTACGAGAGAAATTGAAAATGATAATTTTAAGGAGATTAAACACATTTTACTTATCATTATAAAGATAAAAAATTGCAACATCATTAGCAAATCGTTATTACAATATAAAAAATAATGACGTTACTTCCATTTCTTAACTACATTCCAAAATGTCCTCTTCAAGGAAAATTTTGTTCGAAATATGTAGTATGCGTAACGCATATACTATATTATATCAAGTAAAATTTTCTTCGAAAAAGACGTTTTGGAATATAACCTAAATATTAAATACAATTTTTAAAAACAACCATAGAAAATAAAAGTTTGTAATTACCTTGTTGATCTATTAATATCATAATGTTATTTTGAATGGCCAAAACTCCGTTTTCTAAACCATAAAAGATGTAACGGATAATTCCCTATTCGGATTAATGAGAGCTGCGACAGTGTCAGTCATCTCAAGTCGTTTCATTTTTATCAAACCTCATCAAATTTTTTTTCATGCACTTTTGAAAATTACATCTATCAAATGACGGCCGCCGTTGTCTATGCACTGATTGAGTCGATTTCTGAAGTTTTGCGTCACTCTCTGAAGCATGTCCACCGGTATTTCGGCGATGGCGTTCCGAATGTTTGTCTTCAGGTGAGCTAGGGTCTCTGGTCGATCGTTGTAAACAATAGACTTCAAATAACCCCATAGGAATAATGAAGCGCGCTCGAAAGGCACGTTGAGTGGCGACAATGGAGCGGCCATTACCAAAGTATGCCTCGACGGCAAACGCGCGATGCTCTCTTGTCCAAAGCATGATCGAGACTGGCTGTGGGGGGAACAAAAATTGAGGACCTATCCTTTCGGACGCACCCCCTCCCAGCTTCCTACCTTCACCCCTTGCCGTTTGGCGCGTTTTTCAAAAAAGTAAGTTTCTCTGCCGCACCCTATACATACAGAGACATTGCTCCGATTTCGTTTTGTGTACCCATTTTTATTTTAATTTACATTTTCGCTTTTCCGTATACATATTCGACATATTCATATTCTGACTATATTAATCTCCGTATTTATCTGGAGACTTAATTAATTATTTTCAGGGTTATATTCAGATTCTCACCCAAGTGTTACCCAGGTATCATTCCATTCTTGTTATTTACCAAATGTTGAATAAGGATAATGTAATATCCGGAGAATACCAAGATGCAGAATTGGAAAATTTGGCGCTGCGAGAGGTTTCTTACATTTCCTACGTATAAAACGTATATAATACCGTATAAAAGTACGCTTGTCGCAGTGATAAATGATCACTGAATTTTCCCTCAATTTGCCCACTTCTTTGTCGCCAGCGACACTGTCGCTGGATTAATCCAACTTTTAGCGACATCGTTCTTACGCAAAGATTTAAACATGAACAACAAGATGTAAATATAATAAAGGTATTTATTTAAGCTATATTCCATAACATCCTTTCCGAAAAAAATTTTATTCAAGATATTTGGCAACGTATACTACAGTATTTCGAGTAAAATTTTCTTCGGAGAGGATGTTTTGGAATGTAGCTTTAGACTATGGATGTAATTGCAAAACTTGATAAAAATATACTCGTTCGATACGTTTCCACTTGAAATGAGAGAATGTAGAAAAATGAGATAATCTGCCTTAAGCGTTTATTCAGCTTAGGAAAACAAGTTTTCTTTACCTAAATTATAGTTATTAGAGCTGCGTAATGTAAACGTTACGTGAGTGGTTCCGTGTATTATCTTATTGTATTATTCAGTGTTAAACGCAAGGATAAAATGATACATAGGAGCACTCAAGTAATGTTTTCAAACATAGCCCAACTCTACATTTAATAGTTTGCTTCATGAAGCATATACTATCACGTTTTTCTGCCAGATTCTTTCATTTTGAGCGAAAACATGTCGAATGAGTATATTTTTATCAAATTTCGTAGTGATGCCCGTATTCTAAGTAATTATAAATAAATAAATACGAATTTCTTATCAATAAAAAATTTGTTGCGTGCGATTTTATCTTATTTAACTCTGATTATTTTTATTTTTATTTCCTATTGTTACGTCCAAGCTTCGCATGCATGAAGTTGAGGGGGTGAACGCAACGGGAACCGAACAACCATTTTGGTCGCGTCCAAGCTCCGGACCGGCAAGGGAGCTAGGAGAAGGAGCGACTTAAACGGGAGGCACTTTGCTTCATCCTGAAGCTCTCGAGGAGCCAGAGGTTGAAAGGGGGACGAAGTGGAAGCCTCTCTTGAAGTCGACGCTTTGCTGAGCGGACGCTCTCGTTAAAGGCACAATCTGGATCAGTGTGCCGTGAAACGCACTTTTACGCCAGATGTGCCAGTGCGTTGGTGTGTCCTTCTTTTCGGTCTTGGAAATGAATCCAAGTGACCGGGAAGAGGAGCAAATGCAATCGCTGGCTAAAGTCTGAATAAGGAGGTGTTGCTTGAATTAAAAGATAGTCAATCTTTTAATTATAATACATAATATAATTGAAGATATCATTACATAATTTGGTTAGCCATTTTTTCTTTTTTGGTTCAACAATATATGTATGTGTAAATGTAGGGAATGAAACAAATTGAATTGAATAATTAAAGAAAAGATGAATAATCAATGAGGGAAATTAAGACTTCTGCAGGTATATTGAAGGGAAATGGACAGTGAAGATAGACGAAAGCAGAATGGTGACGATTAAGAAGTCCAGTAGGAGAGAAGAATTTCTATAGTACATAATCGTGTGGGAATTAGGAGATATAAGAAAGGAGAAAGAAAGGGGGGAGGTTGGTCGTTGGGACGACCGGGAAGTTTAAAATCGACGTCCGGGTTGTGGACTTGAAAGGTTCCTTTCGCTATGGCGAAGGAAAGTCGGGTGGTTCGAATTCGTTTGAATATATGGGGAGAGTTGGTACAGTACGAAAGAGTTGGTACAGTACGAAAGAGTTGGTACGAGTAGGAAATGTCTATCGATGTCTATCGTGAAGAAAGAGTAGGCAAAGGGGAAAGTGATGCCGATATCTATTGCGTTTTGATTTTCCTATGATCGAACACTGAAAATGCAATCGCAGGGTTTGCACTAGCATGGTAGGATCCTGTTCTGTCGGCGTGAGCAAACAACAACGATAACGTTACGGCGTTGAAGAGTAATAGTCCCGTTAGAACGCACTGCAACGTTTATTTAATATAGGACGAGAGAAGAGAAAAAAAATAATAAGAGAAAACAAATAAGATGATAATGCAACAAAGTAGAGAAAAAGAAAAAAGAGGGGGGCACCGGATATCAGGGGAGTGTTCACTTACTACTTGTAGCGATACGGCTGGGGTGAAGTTGGTTGGAAAAAGGGCGAGTGGTTTCCAACAACAAGCTGTGGTCCCTCAGGGCTGAAGGTGATGATGATACGGTCTAGTGGCTTCTAGTTCTGTTGCACTGACTCGATATCTGTATGTGTTTTTGCTACGACCCGAATGATTATAAAGCGAAATAAAAGCGAACTAAAGACCAAAAATGAAAAGATTGAGAATAATCAAAATCTTGTGACTTGCGACTTGTCTTTGAGAGAATTTTTAATGACTACTGAAAAAAATCAAAGAGATCTCTTCTTGAGGGCCGTGGAACCACGATTTATATACCGATTCTCCCTTAGTTAGTAGAGATCTAGTTAAGTGATGGGACACTTTTCTGGCTTCTGGATTGATCAAGATTTGGGATACATTGTGGGGGAAGAAAGGAGTCTGTTTTACATCAACAAGTGTGTCTTATTTTTACAATACTTTCTTCTTAAATTATAAATGCAGAGTAAAACGAGCGCACGTGCAGTGTCGGTATGGGACCGTCAAACACCTCCCCTGAACGTCGCATGTCACTTCTCTTTTATGGTCGCGAAGAACCGTCCGCGATTTCACTGTTAGGAAAATATCTAGACGTCAGTCTCGCGTTTTCACTGACATTAATCATATTCTTAATAGCGGTGTCCAAAGAGGGTGTGATCGATGCCCTATTAGTCTCCCGCGTCCACCGATTCTTACCTTATTTTAGCTGACATTAATGGGGAGATACTGGAGTCTTTGCTTTTAATTTTTCGTGAGAAAGATTTTTATTATCTTTTAACTGTCTTATTTGTTGATAACTCCAGGTCTCCATGAAAAAGAAAAAAAAGGTTGTGAGAGTCCACTGGACGTAACACTATTTTATTTATACAGACTTTTCTTTATGATCGCTCAATATACTATACTAATTTAATTATTATATTATTAAATTATTATTATTTATTATTATTATTTAATTATTGTATTTGTTGTTGCGCCAACATTAATGGGTCACGGGAAAAAGAATGATACACTCAAAGACTGTTCGGCGAATAGGCACGCCCTTTATTCGACAACGCAATCCACTGGACTCTCACTACAAACCATAACCTCGCCAATCTCGCTTCGTTCGCGCATCGCTGCACACAACACAATAGCAGCGAACCGAAAAAAAACCCAAAAAAAACGTACCAACGGCCAAACGCGTGAGCGGAAAACGCTCCCGTGATGCCTTGCGTGCGGGTTACGCGTATCCTTTTTGGGCGCGAACCGCGCATTCTACATCTCTCCCACCTTGAGTTGCATCCTCATGATCTGGGTGCAACTCAACCTATCCAAAAGGGCAAAGTATTATAAATAAAAAAAAAAAATGAAGCTAGGCTTCAAATCGTTCTGGCTTCTTAATAAGTCGTCCGCTCCGAGTTCTTAGACCCGTTTCTTCTGTAGGAACAGACTCCGGCTTCTCCTCGATGACCGACTCCTGCTTCTTCTGCGGGGCAGACTCCGGACTCTCTTCATCCTGAGGCGAAGCTTTGATTGACTTACGGACTCTGCTAGCTTTTTCCGCGTGATGATCCACCTCCAACGGGATCAGTCTTTGTATTGGGCGAATTAATTCTCCCTTTTCCGTTTTCAGTCTCACAACTCTGGTATGTCCGTCCTTTCCAGGAAGGACTTCTTTGACTATTGCCAGCGGCCAATCCAAACGTCTTTGGATGTCGTTTCCGACTAGTACTACGTCGCCCACTGCAACCTGCGTGAAACTGCTCTTGCATTTCGTCCGTCTGGATAATTGTCCTAGATACTGGATGCGAAAACGCCTTCTCAATTCTTCCTTTAGACTTTGGCGATAACGGATTCGTTTTGCAAAGTTTGTCTTGCTGATCTGGTCCAAATCGGGAGCGCCAGCTTCCTTGACGTCTCTAATGAACATGTCTGGAGTGATTGCCATGGTCTCAGTACTCTCTTCTGTCATGTAAGTAAGCGGTCTTGAATTCATAACAGCTTCACAGTTGCACAAGACCGTGTTCATCTCTTCGTAACTCAACGAAGTTCTCCTCAGCGTTCTCCTTAGCAAATCCTTGAGGATGCGGATGAGGCGCTCCCACCATCCTCCCCACCAAGCAGCTGAAGGTGGATTGAAATTCCATTCGATTTGGCTAAGAGAGCAATATCGCTGAATTTTCTGCCAATTAATTTTTCGTAGTAAATTCGCTAGTCCTACGAAATTTCTGCCATTATCGCTATAGACTACAGAAGGCCTTCCTCGTCTGGCTATAAATCTTCTGAAGGCTTCTATAAATTCCTCCGTTGATAACGATGTGACCAGTTCCAAATGTACTGCACGGTAGATACGCGCACGTAAATAAACAGATGTAGGCCTTACATCCTTCCTTCAAGAAAAGAGGACCTGCGTAATCGATGCCTACCACCTCGAATGCTGCTGCCTCTCGTACTCTATTTTCTGGCAGCGGTGTAAATGGCGCTTTCATGTTCCTCGCTGCGTGTCGACGGCAAACCATACACTTGTGAACGATGGAACGAACCATTCGTCGGTACCGAAGAATCCAAAACTTCTCCCGTAGATTGTTCATTACAATCTCGATTCCAGCGTGATTGAGTTTCAAATGAGTATACAGGATAACTCTCCTCGTCGATAAGTGCTTTGAATCCAACACTATAGGATATCTGAAACAGAAAGTGTCTTGACGATTAGAAATTGCTGTTTTAATACGCATAATTCTCTTTTCTTCGAAGACGTTCAATCCTCGCAGCCGTGGATCGTTTACTCCCATGAATGATTCTTTCTGAGCTAACTTACAGAGGAGTAATTCTGCTGTACTGATTTCTTTCGCGCTTAACTCTCCTCCGACTGATGCGTGGATTCTTCGGGAATTATTAGTAAATCTTAACACCCATGCTATCATTCGTAAGATCTTCGCGTAGCTTGAAAATCTTTCCAAGTACCAAGGGACGTCTTTTTCACCAGCAATCATAGCGATTCCTTCTGTCGTAGCTTTAGGGGGAGTCTCTTCTTTAAGTCGACTTGAAGTTTTACGCAGCTCTATATTGACTATCTCTTCGTTAATCTCTTCTTCTTTGGACGGCCATTCTTCCGGGGGCAGCTTTAGCCATTCGGGCCCCTCCCACCATCTTGACTCGAGTAATTTCTTGGCATCACATCCTCGTGAAGATAAATCCGCAGGATTCATAACCCCCGGCACATATCTCCAAGACTCGACATTTGTGATACTTCTTATTTCTTGAACGCGATTCCACACGAATACCGCCCATTGCTTTGTCTGTCGTATCCATGCTAGAACAGTAGTCGAATCGCTCCAAAAATATCTTTTAATATCTCGATAATCCATTGCCTTGTCGAAAGAATGCATCATCCGCGCTCCAATGGAAGCAGCCAGTAATTCGAGACGCGGTATCGTTTTCTTGCTTTTGGGTGCTATTCTCGATTTAGCTTCCACTAGATGAACCTTGACTTCCGTGTCTGATTCGATACGCACGAAAAGAACAGCGGCATATGCATCTTTGCTTGCATCTACGAACATATGCAGGGACAATGTATCTGTATTTCTTATCTCACCGAAAATCCAGCGTGGGAACCTCAAGATTCGGAGAAGATCCAGCTGCTGCGCCCAATCCAAGAACTCCTTTTTTCTATCCGGATCAATTTCCGCGTCCCAATTTAAACCTTCGCTCCAAAGGCGCTGTAGCAGTAGTTTTGCTTTCATCAACACAGGACAGATCACTCCTAATGGGTCAAAAACCTTCTGCACGTGCGATAAAACAATTTTCTTCGTTATCCTTTCTGCGGTGGGTTGTAGGGGGAAACCCGACAACGAAAGAGTATCCTCTTCAGTATTCCATATTAGTCCAAGTACTGTCGATCGAGTCTTGCATCTCAGGCCTGTGTACTTCCAGTCTCTTAAGTCGAATCTTGCTTTATCCAAAACGGAACTTGCTTCTCTCTGAAAAATCTCGAAGTCCTCGTAAGAATCGACACTGGTGATGCAATCGTCAACGTAAAAGGATCTTAGCAATTTCTTGTAAATTAATTTCTCGTGTGTCGAAACAGTAGAATTTAACGTATTCTCAATGAGTAATTTTATGGTGGCTCCTAGAAGGAAAGGGCTGCTAGTTATTCCGAAAACAACCCGACGATGACGATAAGTCTCGATTTCGCCGTTAGTATCCCACCACAAAAACCTTAGGACATCTCTATCTGATGGAGAAACGCTAATTTGTAAAAAGGCTTTAGCAATATCTGCTGTTACTCCTATCCTCTTTTCTCTGAATCGATGCAGCAATGCTGGAACAAGCTCAATAAGATTGGGTCCCGTTTCTAAACACTGGTTGAGCGACGGCGTTTCCTTCTTCTTGGCCGAGGCATCGAAAACGGGTCGAATCCTAGTGGTTCCTTCTCTCTTGACAACTGGTCGATGCGGAAGGTAGTAACTCTCTCTGTCAACTTCATGCACAGGTACTTTTTCTATAATACCCTCCTCGAGCCAGTTGCTGAAGATTGTATTGTAATCGTCGAATAAGTTTTCTTGTTTCAATTTCTTCGTGACGACATCCAATCTTCTTTTAGCCATGTCCCTGTTATCTTGCAAGGGCGGATGATTATCCTTCCAGGGTAAGATGACTTCGAAACGTCCTTCTTCGGTAATCTTTGTTGTCTCTTGAAGCAATGCCTTAATTTCTTCTTGTCGTGCCTCTTTACTTATGCTCTCGATCGGGTCAGTAATTCCTAACGTGTCTAGTTTCCATAAATCTGACACGCTGGCCTCTTGAGAAAACATGGAGACGACCATCAGCGTAGTGTCTGTGTCACTACTTTCTTCTGAATTTCTGCCTAAAATCGTCCATCCAAGCTTCGTCTCGATAGCCGTTGCTCCTTGGTTCAGTTGTATGATTTTGCCTGTAAATAGCTTGCCCGCAACGTCCGCTCCGATCAACAAAGAAATAGACTCTCTACTTTCACCGGTGTCGCTTAGATGGACATTCTTCTCTTTAAGCACCTCCGTCCACAAGCCGGTGCCTATGTTGGGAACATCTTGGCAAATAGTGTCTTGTTGTAAGGCTATAAAATCACACTTATACGTTCCTTCCAAGTTACCAATGTGGATCCGATAGCTTTTGTGTTTTTGAGGCTTAGTCTTCGTTCCTCCAAAAAGTAAATGTACCATCGTTTGCTCACCTTCTGCTTCGTATCCTAGATCCCTTGCTAACCTCTTCAAAATGTAAGATCTGTGTGAGCCTGTATCTATAATGGCACGAACAGATATACTTTCTCTCGGTCCACGCATCCTGATCTTTAGTATAGGTAAAAATATTTTGGCACTTGAAATATTAGCCAAACAACTATTTCCCTCGTTGAATTTTGAACCGTTGGGCTTCTCATCAACCGATTTCTGGCCGCTATTACTCGAAAGATTTCGGCACATCAAAAGGCAGTGTCCTTTACTGCACCAGGGACATTTTTCTTTGCTGTAACATTTCTTATAGCTATGTCCTACCTTTAGACATTTGAAACAGCCATTTTTTTCTTTAACGACCTTAGATCTCTCGTCCATATCCATGCCTTTCGCCTTTTCACAACTCGAACTATCATGTTTCTCTCCACAGAACAAACATGGTTGTGCCTTGGATTCTTTCACGGATAATAAACCAGCTGCTGTAGCTACTCCTTGACCTTGATCGCATCTCATTCTCTTCTTATCTTTATCTTTAGATGCCTGGGTATCGCTACTCTCGAAACATGTCTTAGCCATTAGGATACGCTCTTCGTTCTCAATCTCTCTTCCTAGAAAAGACATCAAATTAATAAGACGATCCTTGGCTGTGCGATTTATACTAGATGCATCTGTTTGCAGCGTTGACGATATCATTATTCGTTGCCACGTTCGCAAAGTTTCTTCTGGCAGCGCAGATTCTACCAACGGAAATAACATCGCCGCACACATATCTGTTGTTACATCTAGAGTCTCAAGCGATCGCATATGCGTTCCTAATTTATCATAAATCGCCGCAAGCGACACCTTTTTACTCTTATTCAAAACTAACTTTAAAAGTTCACGCACGTAAAATTCAATCAACAAATCTTTCTTGATGACCAAAACGTGACTCGAGGCTCTGTATGGCTTTCTCATAATTCTCCGCCGTTGGCGGGAAACTACTTACTACTTCACATGCACGCGAACCCGTTTCCATAGACTGTACTAAATAATGAAATTTATCTTCTTTAGCCAATTCTGGATTCACGTGAATTTTCTTAAACGTCCCCCAAAACGGTAGCCAATCTTTAATATCGCCTCCGAATTTTCTTAATTCAATCTTTGGTAATTTTAATGTGCGCATACTTTCCTGTGTCATCGCGAGTGCAGAATACGACCGTCGAGATGAAGACTGTGACGGCGGCGTGGACTCGTGAGCTTCTTGCCTCTCAATCAATCCGGTTACCTCAAGTTTCGCTTGATGATACTTCGCTACATACTCATCCGCATGCTCTATTTCTTTGCAGAGGGCTTCTTCGGATTTTTCGGCTTCGATCATCAAGTTCCGTAATTTCAGGCTCAACTCATTGAGTTCGCTTGCTTTGTCTCGCACCAGCGCGTACGCGACTTGTAACGAGGTTATGTCCAGCGGTTGTCTCGTCTTTTCCGCTTGAAAGGCAGTGTATGCCTTCGTAAACGCAATGCGCGTTACTTTCTGTGCGAGCTTCACTCTGTCCATGACTTCTTCTGTAATGGCCAACAACGAGTAGTCTCAGTCCTGTCACGGTCGCCAGATTGTTGTTGCGCCAAAATTAATGGGTCACGGGAAGAAGAATGATACACTCAAAGACTGTTCGGCGAATAGGCACGCCCTTTATTCGACAACGCAATCCACTGGACTCTCACTACAAACCATAACCTCGCCAATCTCGCTTCGTTCGCGCATCGCTGCACACAACACAATAGCAGCGAACCGAACAAAAACCTCAAAAAAAACGTACCAACGGCCGAACGCGTGGGCGGAAAACGCTCTCGTGATGCCTTGCGCGCGGGTTACGCGTATCCTTTTTGGGCGCGAACCGCGCATTCTACAGTATTATTCGTTATTATTTGCGATAATTTCATGAAATTTTCAAATGGCTATTGTACATACTTGTGGCATATGTGAATTCAGCAAACGAGAATGGATTAAAATTGATTAACATTTTTTTAATGCGTATTTTTAATTCATGAAAATGGATTGATTGGATTGAAATGGATTGGATCCGAGCTGACAATATTCTAGTTCGAAAAAAAAAACATTCATATTTGAAGATTACAAATTTTATTTCTAAGACATTTATAATAATTATACCTGAAACTACTTCAAATTGGTATTAAAAAACGCACCTTAGTAGGATTCGAACCTGGGACCTCTGGATTATGAATCTTCTACATTCTATATTATCCGCTACTTTTTCAATTGGTATATATACGAGTATATAAATATGTTATTCATTCTCTTTCTACTTCAGTTACAATCAGCTAAATCAGTGCACGAAATTATATAGATATAATAAAAATATCATCATTTAACAGATATAATAAAATATAAACAATTTACATTACTATGAGACAACATTGGGTAAGTGTCGGATAATCTAATCTCGCTTGGCCGATGTCGCGCGCCGTGATCAGCGTAATATTCAGACTGTGTTCGGCTTGATTTGCGAGTGTTTATATCGGTCATTCATTTTACTTCTAATTAAAGAGAAACAAAAGAACATAGCTCAATTATTTTTACGTTACAACTTTTTGGAACTTAGTTGGATTAATACGAAAAATTTCTTACTTATAATTTTAAATAACTTAAGTAGCATTTATCATTTTTAAATAAAAACTTTTTTTATTCAATTACAATTAGATTAAAAAACAGTATTTTATATCTGATTTAAGCATTAATATTGAATTAAGCAGTATTCACATTGCACAGAAATTACTAATATTATTTTTGAATTTATCTGAATTAAATAAACTGTACTTCCTATTCACAATTCCGAATTGAGTAGTATTCACGATGTTGCACAGGAAATACTAATATTATTTTCAGATTGAAAGGCATGGAGATATGCTCTATCATCTATAATTCCTATAAATGGATAAAAATGCATTCAGGATTGAAAATAATTCATTTTAACATTCATGAATCCATATTTCTGAAAATCTGAATCCATTTTAATCTATTTCAATCCATTCTCGTTTGCTGGGAAATGATCATAGACGAAAAGAGCATTTCGACTCATGTGTGTATGAAAGCATATAACTAATTATTCGTGATAATTTTTTAATAATTTTTTCAATCCATGTTTTTTTAATCCATGTCGTCTTTCAAATAAAGGATCAACTCAAAACCTCTTTTTTATATATATTTTTTTAATTTATACATTTATTAATGCATATGGATGTTATTAGTCTATTTTATCGTAGTTTCGCGTTATTTTTAACGTCGGTGTTTCGCGCCATGCTTAGTAACGAGCCGTGTCTCCAAATTGTGCACAATTGTATTAACTTGAGGGTTTAATCATAGGTCCAATCATAATATCATTTTTAATATGACATTTTGCACTTTATAGCACTTTACACAACACAATTAATATAATTATCGTCAAAAATTTATCGCTGCTAACCCATTTATATGAGCGACATTCGAGGTTAACAACATGAAATCACGTGACTCGTTAAATATGAGCGACACCATGAATACTTACCTTAAAACGTGTATTATTTATGTTCTAAAATTCTAAAATTCTAACACGTTAAACTCACTTCAAATGAGATACAACATAGTGAACACTACATAATTAGAATACTAGATTAGTTAATATTCACCTTAGCTCATGTTCAGATTCCCACCCGAGTGTTCTCTGGGTATCATCCTTGTTTAACGTTTGATAAATAACAAAGATAGAATAATATCTGGATGGCACTCGGGTGGTAATCTGAACATAGCCTTAAAAAGTAGCCTATTTGATTTATATACCTTTTTATTGGTCCAGCAAATGCTGGCGGCTTTTATAATGGCATATGGTATACCATGCATGATTTCATTATTTCATGTGTGATAGCTACGACATAAGCAGCTTTAAATTCACGAAAATAATATAAATATAATAAGTATTTTGGACTTCCGGTTATGGGTGAGTACAGGCGAAAGCAAAGAAATTTATTCTATAAGGAGAAGTAAAATTGGAGAATCTGATTCTGCGTAATCTACTCCCGTGAGAGGGAGTTTGTTTGTATAGATCCGGGTGAAAGGCAAGCAAAAAGATAGCCACAGTTTTCTCGCACCAGAAAGGAGCAAAAGGAGAAGAAGGAAGGGTGACAGCGGACCTAACCTCAAAAAGCGCCGAAACACGGGTACAGAGAAGGAGTAAAACACAGGAGAGAAACACGTGGAAGGGAAGTGACGTGCGTATGACGTCATCGCGACGATAAGCGAATACAAGGCGCGCGCACCGACACTAGAGTGAACAGACGTATGAAAGGAGAAGAGGAGGAGGAAAAGTCTGTGGAAGGGAGTACGGATAGTGGAAGTCTCAGCCGAACAAGAGAGTGGGTGTGGGGAAAACACTGGACAGTAGCGGGGAGGGCGGGCGGAGAGTACGAGAAAGAAGAGAGAGTGACGGAGAAAGAAAGCGTGGACGAGAAAAGCACCGTAAGTGGGAACAGCTACCAGCGCCGAGGGAGGCCGACGAAAGCCGAGAGTTTATTGAGGGAAAGAAGGCAAAGTACAAGCAGCGCGTCGTCGGTGCTAGACTCATTTGAGAGGTGGAAAGCGAAGCGCGCGAGAGAAGAAAGTCAGGCTGAGAAAGAAACGCAAAGAAATACAAAGAAGAAGAAGGAGACCGCCAAAATAATTAAAATGTCGGATGTAAAGGTAGAGGATCTGGAAAATATAATAAGAAAAGTGATAGGAGAAGAGAATGATAAGTTTAGGAAGAAATGGAAGGAAGATAATGAGAAATTTAAAGAAGAATTAAAAGAGAATTTTAGAAAAATGAAAGAAGAATTTGAAGAAAAAGAGAAGAAATGGAAAGAAGAAAACGAAGAACTGAAAAGAAGAATAAATCAGATGGAGAGAAGAGAAAAGAAAGCGAATATTGTAATTAGGGGGGTGGGGAATACGGAAGATAGTGCTCTAAAAATCGCGAAAGAAGTAGTTAGAAATACGGGAGGGGGGGAGGTAGAATCAGAAATAGTAGACGCGTTTAATATAGGGAGAGGGGGAGCTAAGGTAATTTTAGTTAAAATGAGTAGTTACGATAGTAAAAGAGAGGTGATGAAGAATAGAAGTAAGCTAAAAGGGTCGAGAATATATGTAGACGCGCGATGACCTGACAAGCGAAGATGATAAAATTCAGAGAAATATTAGAAAGTGGGCGAAAGCGGAGAGTGCGAAAGGGAAAAGAGTAAATGTAAGAACGGGAAAATGTTTGGTAGATGGAACAATGTATGAATGGGATGAGGAGAGACAAGAGATGAGAAAGGGGTTTCAAGGGGGGCAGGGGGGGAGAGGGAGGGGAGATAGAGATGAAAATATGGATGAATGAGGATCGAAAGAAAGGGGTGGATGGAGAGAGAAAGAAGAATGTATGTAATATGGAAAGAATGAAAGAAGATGTCAGTAGAGAGAGAAGAAAGAACGAATGTAGTAGAGAAAGAAAGAAGTGTGAATGTGGTGGAGAGAGTACGAGAGTGTATGGAAGACGGGAGAGATGGGAGAGGGAAGGAGGGAGGGAAGTGAATAGAAGAAAGGGAAGAAAGAGAAATAACAGAAGTAAGAAAAAGGGGGAAGGGAAAGTAAGAGGTGAGAGAGAAGTGGAAGAGATTAAGATAGTAGGATGGAACGTGGCAGGAGTAAAAAACAAAAAAGCAGATTTTTGGGAGTACATAAGAGGATTTGATGTAATTGGATTGATGGAAACGTGGATAGAGAAGAAGGAATGGGAAGATTTGAAAGCAAAATTACCAGAAGGGTGGAATTGGAAATGCCAGGAAGCAGAACGTAAACATAGAAAAGGAAGAGCAATGGGAGGAATAATCACGGGGATAAGAAAAGAGTTAGTAGAAATTATAGGAGAAAGAGAGGAAGAAGAGGGGATACAAGAAAGAAGGATTGAGACAGGAGGAGTGATATGGAGAATTATTAATGTATATAATAGAGAAGGAAGGAAAGAGACATTAGAAAATATAAAGAAGGAGGTAAAAGAAGATGAGGAGGAAAATATGATCATATTAGGGGATTTTAACGCGAGGATAGGAATAGAAGGAGGATGGGAGGAAAGTGAGATAGTAAATGAGGTAGTAAAAAGAAACTCGAAAGATAAGAAGATAAATGGGGAAGGAAGAGAGATGTTAAAAATGGTAGAGGAGAGAGGCTGGATAATAATGAATGGCCAAAAAAGAGGAGATGAAATGGGAGAGTGGACATATGAAAAAGACGATAGAAAAACTGTGATAGATTACGGGATTGTAAATTGGAGTGCATGGGAGAGGATAAAAGAATTGAAGGTAGGGGATAGAATAGAGTCAGATCACCAACCAATAGAAGTAATAATAAAAAATAAATGGAAGAAAGAGGAAATAGAGGAGAGTAGTGTGGGAGGGCAAGTGCAGGATTGGACAGAAGAGGGAGAAAAAAAGTATAGAGAAAATATACAAAAGGTCAGATGGAAGGAAACGGAAGGAGGAAAAGAATGG